TCGACTTTTATGATGAGAATGAGCACCTTCTCGATATTAGATTGTGAATTGGAACCGATTCTAATCGATGAGCAACTTACAGTCAACAGCAACAGTAGCAATAACAACAACAATAGCAATGCAACTTGTCAAATGAAACAAGTAAGTGAACAACTCTTTGAGTTGATTGTTTTGACAATGTTTCAAAGTGAGAATCAGTGACAGATGATTTGATGTGACTCCTCAAGGTGAGTGATAGTCACATCATAAAATTCTCCAATCTTCTTGAAAGATTCAAGAGGAACTGATAAGTGCACTAAAGTGTTGTGCGAACTCATCAGATCGATGAGAGGCACTTCCTTCAGTTTGCGTTCAAATTTTTCATCGTTCACCATTTAGTTGACTTTTTTTTGGTGTCCAATTCAAATAAACTGATAATGGCGAGATGAGCGATTCATCATAGTTGGTGCAATAGAAATTAACCGATTTTGAATGAAACATCAAAAGATTCATCATCAAAAAGTTATTGCCAGTCGTCAACTGTTCCTTTTTTTTCTTCAAATATTATTTCCAACCGGTTTGATGATTTCACAACAAAATAATCGTTATTATCAGATCAAATGCCCGCACATTTTCGGTTGACAACCAAACAACGACTATCGACTGATTTCTCAATGTCACACGACACCAAAAAAAAAACCATTCGTTCAGTTTAAAACTTCCCCCTCAACTCATCAAAATTTAAGACATCCAACATTTGAGATATCCAGCAAAATTGAGTGATTGCCGTCACAATAAATAATCAGTAACATATTTGTCAGTATCAATTTCAGTCGAAAGTTTATCATCGATCAACCGCAATCATCTCATCATAAAACTTGAATTGGTAATGAAAATGAAAACTGGATGAGCATGGCGCTGATGTATTTTGCGAAAACAAAATTTCTATCAATGACATTGGAACAACCAACATTCGATTTCGAGCAAACCTTTTCCCAGTCCATATTTGTGACAAATGAGTGAATTTCAAGTAATCCTCTGGCTATCATCTGTCCATGACATAGCTAACAAGCAATTGTTCATTCAGCATGGCGCCGATGTATTTTGCGAAAACAAAATTTCTATCAATGAAATTTGTACAATCAACAATTGTTATTGGTACAATGAAATTGGTACAATTGTTCATTTGACACAAGTTTCTCAGGAAATGAACAACATTGAAAACAAGTTGAATTTTTCATAGCCAATCGGCGATTATGAACAAATCACTAGCATGGAAGTGAAAACAAAATGATGACTGAAGCGATTGTCTGAAGTGAGTCTTTCAAGTTTTGTTTGACGAGATTACCCTAGGACGTGGATTCAACCTCCCCA